GTCGGCCCAACAAAGTGCATACATTGGCTGGCCTTTTGAAGTTTTGCTTTGTAGCATTCTGAATGAGCCGCTAGAAGACCCAGTCGAAAACCAGTCTTTCATGTACTGTTTGGATATCTCGCGAGGCTGTCTTAACCATTCCCATAAAGTATAGACCGCAAGGTGCCTCAAGCTGGACTAATGTTTTGACAGAAGAGAAGGCACTATCTGCAACAATGGTGCGCCCTGTCCCTTTGTACGGCCCCAAAAATCAAAGCACAATAGCCGTCAGCTGTAGCCTTCAACTCAGCACCAATACCCTCCGGCTTTCTCGGTATCTTCGTCTTATGGAGGATACCATCATGACAGTGCTTTGCTTCTCTACCTTGCCATGCACTCATACATTCGTCAATGCACATGATCTCACCTGGCGAAACTACTCCGCGTCGGCGATCATTAAAGCTGTTAGCAAGAAGCACGCATCGGCTTCCATGGGTCATCCGAGATCACGTCATCTGCAAACGACAATGCACCCGAAATGGGTTCAAATGTGTGACGTGATACACCAAAACGTTCCCCAAAATTGGGAGGGGCCCCAACAAAATCCTCAAGAATGTCTTTTTCCCAGTAGGTTCGTAGGGCACCTCGTCTAGGTTCTACTGCAATAGCGAGTCGGACTCCAAGAAACCGAAACAAGTCCCCTTCTGGTATTGTACGTTGACGACGGGCCGCCAACTTATCGTTTGTGTGTTTGATCGTACTCTGAATTGCCGACCACGGATACATTAAATAGAAGTATTTGATAAATGTTTTTCACCTAAATGCGTAAAACTTATTTGTGTATTCTACAGACAATGACAGATCGGTTTGATCAAGCTGCCGCACTGAGAGCAAAGATAAGTGATTACTTGAAGGTTGTGTTTGATTACACCATGTTGTGGTTGAACGTGCATTATCCACTTCGTTTGGTATGGCCGAGCGTTCTTCTCAGTCCAGCAGAAGATGAAAATTACACTCTGAGGAAACGTTTTACAGTTCAATGATTTC